TTCCTGCTACTTCTTTCCCTCTAGACCCTACAGCTGATCGGAAAGCAAGCAAACATATTTTGATATGACTCAAGTGCTTTAAGGTAATATATCAGAAAGTCTGCTCTTGTTTTTAATGCATCGAATGATCTGCCTTTTTTGCTCTCAGGTTACATTTTTAAACTTCTATTCTTTATAGATAGGTTTATAAACAACTAAGGCATATTTATAAAATTATTGCAATCCATCAGTTCTATAAATACACCAATATGTAGGAATATGTAACAGCAACGAGCACCATATATGAAGGATGCAATCTGCTAATAAAGCACTATGTATGTTTTGTCAGACACACATACTTGCCACCCACTCAGAGGCTCTGGAGAGAGAACTCATAGACATATATTATGCATGCATGACAGTATGCAGCCATACCACACAAAATGTAGGCACGAAATGCCCTCCCCGACTTTAGCAAGCAGTGAATCACATCAAGATGTCACTTTGGTCATATCCTACCACTGTGCTAACTTCAGAATCCTGGCTTGTACTCCGGACCATAACTGCTGGTCCTCCACTGGGAACAGAGTCGAAATCACTCTTCTGCAATCAAAACATATAAAGGATGGGAAGAAAAGTCACATTAGTTTTTATCATGAGGAAAGAACATCACTTCCCATTCCTTTGGGGTCTTGAATCACACACCTTACGCTTCCTTGGTTTATTTAGCCAGCCAATTAGAAACTACTGCCTGCATGTCAAAAATATTATAGGGTCATAAAATTGAGGAGTTCACAAAGATCAGTCCCCTACAGGAAGGGGAGAAGAAATTTTACTGAATGAGCCTTTCAAGAATGCTGAAACCTAGAAATCTTCTCACAATTAAGTAATGAATAGAAGCATACTGTCTCTTACCACTTAAATAAATTAAGCATAGGAGCCACTGACCTGAGAACCTGAGGCCAAGCTGAGGCCACTGTCTGCACTGATTTGGGATTTTTTCTCATCTGTTTCTCCCAAATCAAAATGTTTCACACCTTCTGGCCCTGAACAAAGGAAAAAGTAAATCATTACTATACCAAGAAAAAACAGTATGGCAGAAAGCAGATGACAGACTGAAAGCAGGAACAGTACCAAGAAAACAAATTTGCTTTCTCATTCCTTTGATTTTTTTTTTTTTTAAATTCCTTGGTACTGTAAACAACAAGGCCAGGAGGACACACCTGCCATTCTTTGAACATTGGTTTGAATGTCAAATACTCCAAAGGCATAGTCCAGGAGCGGCTAGACTATCACTAAACAGTACCTTTGTTAGCCACTCAAGAGAGAAAAGAGGACAGAAAAAGGTCAAGTAGCTTCCAGTTATGATAACACATGCAGAGCAGTTGCCATTCAACTCTAGGAAGCCACTTCCTTTACTCTTGGTAAAATAAAGGATACCTATTTACTTAAAGCCAGAATCCTTTTTTGAACAGCTAATTTGCTCAAAGCCTTGGACTAAGTTTTTTAGGTTGCCCATAGCAACTATCTAGGCAAAAATCAGGCAACACATGACACGAACATAAATACCTAGCGACAATTGGTGTTACACCAGAAAGAATTTCAAGGAAGAAGCTTGTATGATGCTGTACTTCACAACATTCCCCAATTACATTAACAAATGGCTCTCCAGAGTTGGCAATCACATAGGTCAGTAGTAACAGAGGGAATCAGCAAGCTCTAAGTCATGCATTCATTAACCCACCCAATCCAAAACGAAAAAGGGGGGAAAAAAAAAGATAGAGAGCTTTATGTTAAATTTCTCATGCAGTTCTAGAATCAAATCATCTGTTGTCCTCTGCTAGGATGGTACAAGGAAAAGAGAATGATGGAGAGGCAGAGCCTGAAAAGAAATTTGGATAAGCATCTTACGAGGTAAATAATGAGGCAAGAAGAGAATGTGTTATAGACGGTACACAGGATGTCACTGCACTCAGAAAGGGGAAGAGACTGAATGCAACACTTCTGCCATATCCATATCTGCCAACTATTCAGTAACAGGAAGACATGATCAGCAGCTGGAATATTTGTATTATATACCCATGACTATTTCCAGTATCTCTAAGCAAACAATGCCACTATCTCTTATAACCACTGATCACAACAACCCGGGAATTATGAAAATGTTTGTATTTTATGTGATATTAGAGGGGGTAAGACAGTGAAAAGGAAAGAAAAAGGGAAGGAAGGAGAGAGAGAGAGAAGGATAATATAAAAAGATTTGTGGGAGTGAATTTGAGATGGTATGTAAACTCATGAATAGCAAAGCCATAAGCGGGCTGTGCAGACCATACTAGCTTACTACTCAATCATCAATTCTCCATCTGAAGCGTTTTACAGAAAGTGTTCTTCATTTGTCACAGTATTCTGCCTCCAAGTCCACATGCCTCAGATACTGTAAATCAAATCATCAAAGATTCTAACAAAGAGAAAGTATAAACAAAATTTACAAAAAAAAAAAAAGCTAAAAATATTCTAAGAATTTGGAATCTTATTTTTCACTGAAATAGACACTGCTGACCTCTAGAGGTCTATTCCCACTCATTCAAATGGCCACCATTTCTAGTTCTGAATAACGATGCAGCAAAAACTTTTATATCTCATTACTACAGCAAGAGTACCAAACTTCAGCTGTGTGTTTTCAGCAATTTAGGAGTTCCCCATCCCAATACTTAATTCAGATATATTTCTGGCAATTTGACTTTTGAAGCAAATGAAACTGATTGGAAGCAGTTCAGGTATTTGACAGTTGTGGGCAATACTGGTAACTGAGTTTAAGGAGCACAATAAACACAATCACATTTTTGTCACTATCAATTTACAGGCACTTACAACTCCATTAAGAAGGGAAGGGGAGATTTGTTATATCTAACACTCATAAACCACTAAACCCTCAATTTATCCCTATCTGAAAGGCCCAGTTAGGGAGACTAGGTGTGTGCATGTGCTATGTGTATCTCACACACACTCCTACCTCAGCAGGAGGAAATTCAGATCTTAAATACAGTAAGCTGTACTGCAGAGTTGCCCCATTTGACCCATTCTCTCTGAACTAACTCCAGATGTTCGCTTTTACTTAACTGAAGTATTTAACTGAGGAGCCTAAAACTAGTGTAGCAAATTCAGGCCCAGTCAGAATGTCAGGAATTTTCACTCATTCATCTTAGCTATTACTGCTCTCCAACCTTCAGTCTGTAAAAGGGACATCAGCTCTGCGAAGTAGAAACTATACTTATGGCTAGGAAACATCTACCACATCATGGTTATTATAAACTAGCTATTCTTATATCATATGTCTCTACTTACAGCACTGATAATCAAAAGAGTAAAACCTGGTGCTACACCTGCAGATAACATATATTCGATATTTTATTCAATATCATATTTCAATAGATGTTAAGATTTGTGTAGAATTAGACTACTGTTTAGACTCTGCAAACAGCCTCAGACTATTTCACTCCTTTAACACGGGATATAAAAAACAAAATCAGCTTGATTCCTTATTTTGAGGCTATTCTGTAAGAGCCATCATTAAACACAATTCTTCACATACACCTTCTCTCTCCCCCTCAAAAGTATTTCTTGTTGATGTCCGACTGTAGTCATAAACTGTTCATGGTTGATGACAGGTACCAAAATTTGCCATCCCGTGGCTTGAAAGAATCAAGAATTCTTCATCCCAATAACATCCAATCAATCAATACATCCACGTCAAAGATTTGTTAAGCAAAACTGGTCTTTAAGAACGGAGATGGAATATCTTAAAATCCTTCCATATATATCTGGTATGGTGAGGATGTAAATATCTGCTTCCCCTTCTTTGAAGAAGGCAAAATTCAGGAGAGGAGAAAAAGGAAGGGGGAAAAAAAAAAAAAAAAAAGAGACATTTGAACACGATTTCCTCAAGGCAAACTGATCTGTTTGGTCTCCTCTATAAAGCAGGCTTTCTTGATAGACCTTTGTTCATGTGGGCATAAAAACTGTGTGCCATAGATGCAAGTTCACCCTGCACCTGGGGAGTTGGCAGTTATGGGGAGGCTGGAGGAGTCAGTTTCTATGTTTTTTAATTTCCTTACTCGTTTTTTCCAAAGATTTTTGCTTTTTCACTTCCTGGTGCTTGTTCCACAATTCTACCCAAGATGCATTGAAAGCAGGAGAGAAAGAGAAAGAGTCAGCGGCTGGTCAGACAGGTGAAAATGAGGAAAAAAAATTGAAACAAAAACCCCACCCCTTCATCTCA